CCAAAATTTTAAATATCGTCAATACATTTTCGACCTTATTGCAAAATTGTTAAGTTACAAGTGTTTTGCACTTTTATTGGTAACATGGTATATGTAACTGATTGACAGTAGAATTGCAAAAATACGCTATATGTTCTTGACAAAGACCGGATTGCAGGAATGGTGACCCAAATATGGTTGGCCTCATATTTTCTATACTCAAATGTGGGGTGAATGCTTTCAGGAGTTCTGAGATGTTTTAGAGTAAGACTGAAGGGATATCTCGGCTTGTTTCCGCATAAAGATAAGCTATGATGCAGGAAGCTGTCTTTTACCTATTAAATGCTATTTAACGGCTGCTATTTTCAGTGTATGCTATTTTCCGAATGAACGGTAGTATATTCGGAAGTCTTATCCAAATTCTGCTTAAAATTATTAGAGATGGGGTTAGCCAAAATTTTATTAAAGTCTTCTTCATCATCTTCATTATCACTTAAAGATCACTGAGGATCCACAGTTGGACTATTCGCTTCGACAAAATAGGGTTTTGCCGTAACCTCTGTGATTTAGAAGCAGGTTGGAGAGTGAATAATCACAACACGAGAGTCGTTGCGACTTTTTGGGAGTAAATCCTTCGAGAATTGGAGTATCTGTGATGGAAGAGGGAGGGATTGGGCTTCTGTTAACTTCACTAACACGCCGAAACACAACATATGCGGTTGGTTCACAACGGATTTCTGTGAGGCCATGCTGTCTCTCTGGAGAACTCGGCCCATTCGTGCTGAAACAAAACTCTCCCACATTTTTTCGTGCATCTAACACATAGCCGTACACCCTTGTATACATCGCGTGTCGTTGAGTGCGATGCCTGTATGTTTCTCAATAAATATTGACGTTTAATTGGAAAATTATAAAAAACAATTCTATGATGTCCTAGAACACGAGTTGCGTCGGAGTCTTGGGAATTTGGCAGCTGGACTCATAAAATATGTATGTATTGTGTTTATTCAGAAGGTTATAGATACAAGCCACGGTCTAGGACATTGCTTAAGAAATAGGTTATGATTACAAATGTACGACCACCCTCTACCAGCGGCTTCAGATGCACTACCATGTTTAAAAGTCGCCTGTATTATTGGTACTATCTGTCTCTAGGTATGCATAATTTCATTCAGATTCATTCATTCGTTTTTAACAAAAATTCGTTTATGCATATTTTAGACCAAAAATAGATAGGTACTCTTAAAATCTTGCATATATCTTTTTCCCTAAGATAATATTTATATTTTAGTTACCTACATATCAATAAATACAAGTAGCAAAACCAACTCTCAGATACACATAATAGCATAATTAAGAAAAAAAGCCGTTAGTTCACAACTTTTAAGTAGTTTACAGAAAAATATCGTGACTACAATGAGTATCGCTTACACCATGATGGGGCAAAAAAGCCGTCCATCTGTGCCAGGTACAGAGCTCGCGTGAAGAAATCAACTACTTAGGGGTGATATTTAGGAGTACATTGGGCTGTGGACACACTGCGCGAGGCAGCTTTTTAATATCCGACAAAAAGTAAGTTGAATCTACTTAATACGGTAGTTAAGCTAGTTGAGAGACTAGTCAAATTCAATACTTTTATCACAACGTCAAAAACGATACCTTGTTATGAAATATGTATGAAACCCGCGAATTATGATAATTATAGCTTACTTATTTCTTAAAAATTACCTATAAAATATCGAAAATGTTATGTATCGACAGATCGATAAAAAGATAAAGGTATAAGTATTTATATCTATTGTATGGTATTGAAACGTTGAATATTTTTTTTCGACCTAGGAAACTACCCTATTTTGACCAAAACAAAGTAGTTAGACGTTGACAAAATACAAATTCGTCATTTCGTCCTATGATGACGATCCCAAATATGATGACCCAAACCAAAATTGGCTTTTCTATTCCACTCCATTGACTTTATAGTGTATTGTTTGGATTGGAAGGTACTAAATCAGTAAGGTCCTGAGACTCCATGGAATTACACGATATTCCACCTCAAAAAAGTCAACTTCATCATCGTTATTGAAACAATGAAACAATGATCAGCCTGATGAACGTAGGCCTGCCCAATTGCACGCCACTGAGCTCGATGTTCAGCTCTTCTCATCCAACCAACTTGAAAACTTTTTATGTGTTTCTACCTTAACCGATTAACACGTAAACAGTAATAAAACTTTTAAAGACTATGAGTGGAATTCTGTAGAATTGTAGAATTGAAAGTGCTTTGAAAGAACCAAGGTCGACAGTTCAATCTATTGTCAAGTTACGTTAAAAGTTTCTACTTGATTGGTGAAAAATCGAGTGGGCGTTATTGTGTTAGTACTATAATATGTAGGTGACATCGTAACCCTGAAAAGAAACCATTAAGTTTTTTTGTGGTTGAATGACTACGCGATGTTTGGGGTATCTGTGTTTATGCTAAGTATAAAGACCGGGGTTGCGGGAAAAGCGCAATAATCTACCATGCCTGGAGCAGGAGAATGGGATAGTTTTAAGTCAGTAAGAGTCTGAGACTCTCAGAAATTTCACGATTTTACCCTCAAAAAAGTTCAGTATAAAGAAATATAATATTGGTTAGTCGTTTGGGGACAGTTATCGCTACTAGAGAGATCTTTTTAGTACCTATACATTTTTCTACAGAATTTGGTTATTCTGTTCAAGATTACGATTTCTTTTCAAGTATCTTTTCTTGATTTCTGGGGCACCTTGGGTAGGTACCAACCCTTGTCCTTAAGCGCGCTCATCTTCTCTCCTTTTCTGATATAAAAAAGCGATGCATTGCAATTTGAAGACTGAACTTAACCAGAACCCGTTTTCGCCCAGCCTCGCTTTGATTATTGATTGACGCTGACACATTGTGCAGGTACACTACTATTGTTGCTGTTACCATGCGAACGTTGTCCATAACATGACGAATGGATTTAAGATGGCCACCTAAGTACCTACCTATGCTTTATGTTTTACTAATACATAACTTGACTAGCTGCTGCTTACGACTATGAGTCCCGTGCGTGGCTCGAAATTGGTCGGCTTACCTAGTCACACCGTTCGTGATTATTAAGCCATAAAATGTAATTAAGTAATTTTATATGTCTCAAAATAAAATACGAGGTAGACATTGATATACAAATCCGTCCTATTATTGTCCTATGGTGTTGATCCGAGAAGTAATAATACAATATGTTAATCAAAAAACACTATGAAATAATATTTGTCGTATGTGTGTGCGTTTTATAGCGAGCCTGCCTACTACAGCCTACGAACAGAATTGTTAGAAGACACGCGAAATAATATTTCCTGGCTCTCAAAAATACCGTTAACTTTTTATGAGATGCCATTATATTTAATGGCTTTATTATCCGGAAAATATTGCTGCCAGTTATATTTCTTGTTAGATTATTTTATAAGCATTTTATTAATTTACATTTCCTTTTATATACATATGATAGTATATCAAGCATACTACATAAATGTTAACTAACTCTGTTTGTACTCATGCAGAAAGATAAGGCTGCTACTGCAGTTAGTTGAGGCATAAGCATAAACTAACATGCAAAGCAATATGAACTTTAAAGGCATGGAAATTCAACATAGTACGGTAAAATTGGCTAATTACTAATTTGAAAAAAATCTGAAACCTTTATAGAATTAAAAATATTGAAACAAATGTGGTTTATTTGAATCTATGTTTCCATTTATTTTTCTTAGAACTTATAAAAGTAATTTATTTGACAATTTTAATAATGATTTTTATTGTTTTGATGAACTTATATAGAAGCTGTATGATAAAGTTATTTTAAATTGGTGTTGCTATATTATTGTGCTAAATGTCTAGCTTGGTGTGTTTGAGCCAAATGTTTAAAAAGGATTGATATGTAAAATTAAAAAAAATGGAAAAGGAACATTATGAATGAAGAAAAGTTACTACCTATGTGTATGAACTTTCAATCTTTCATTCAAATATACCTTTTATATAATAATTTTTAAACTGAATGAAACTGCTTTGAACTTTCCTTAAGCACATAAAAGGTAGATAGTAAAAAAAATACCAGCAACGGAAAACCAGTTCTTTATTTAAGCAGTTTCAAACTTTGGAAAAAATAAATCTAAGTATTAAAAAAATATATAAAATATGCTATATATGTAATAGTGTTATATATATAATAAATATAAGTATATATGCTTTAGGAACCTGGTGTGTGGACGGTGATGGTTGGGTACCAAATGTACTTTGGGTATGTCGCCCGGAGGCAGTTTAAAGCTAGGCTCACCCTCATCTTCCGGATCCATGGCTCTTGTGGCACAAAAATAAATATTTTTTATACATATTGTATTATGTTATAGTACCTAGAACTTTTTGTAAGTAATTTTTGAGTGCTTTATTGACAACCTACTCAATTAATGTAATATTATTATTTTCAATATTTAAATAACTTATTTTATTCTAATAACTATTAAGTATGCCTACATTTTAAATAAATTTGAAAAAAAAAGGATTGTTTTTAGGTTTAATAGTTTTTGTCTGAGTTAGTTTATAATATGATGCCAATAACAAATTAAACTTACAGACAATATAAATTTACATACAACATTTCTAGCACAGTTTTGTATTCCATAGCAGATATTTAGCATAATGTAGTTTTTTTGTTATATTGCATGCTGTATTAATTTAATTAGCCATTTATTTACGACAAGAAGTTCATATTATTGTTTGGTAAGTTGGTAATCGTTTGACGCATAGATCTAATCATTAATTTACTGCAGAAGTAGGCAATTAAATACTTATGCAGACAGAAGTATCACTAATCACAATTTAAGCTCCAAGCATACACACCGCAAACCGGAAAACATCCACAAATAAACAACGCCGGCATTTATCATTCACAAAGTATATTTTACAGTTTTTTACCAATAATATCAACGTAAATTACATTTTTTCAAGCATAGGTTATATTTATACTCACGACTTAGGCCCGTTTTGCTTCGCCGATGGTATTTTCTAACGAAGTTTGAAGAATTAACACCAATAATTTCACATTTCTATGTCTTAATATTTTTTTGATTTTTAAATTATAATAAAAACTATGAATAACCAAAAAACTACTAAAATTTTGATTGACTTATTTTTATGTTTCAAATTCGGCATACGCACGCGCGTTGCCAATTTTTAAGGCTGCGTTCGCATTTATACTTTTTACTAGTATGTAAACCTGTTTCATAAACTTAAAAAAGGGTAAATCATTTCTTTCAACATGCGAAAATAGTGTGATCGCTATAATTTATTTTGAAGTAAAAATCAAGGCCACTGTAATGGTTTTGAAGACTGAGTACTAACCAACAAGGTGGTCTATATTTGGATTAATTTCTCTCCTACCGAGAAGTGCACATATGCAAACCTATTAAACAATAAAGGAATTCTTCGGCAGAGTAATAATGAACGCAAAAATAGAATGGTCTAATTATTAAAAATAAGGCTTATCAGCCCAAATCCTGATAAAGGGGAATTAAAACTTGGTAAATGAGTCGAAAATATCTACAGTTGTATTGCTGTTGTGTATACAAACTTCTGAAATGAATTTTGTAAAAGTAGGTGGGTAGCTTTCATAAGCATATTAGTGCAACTTCTTTCTATTAAAGGTAAGTATAAAGGGAAAACAGAAAATTATGTTCTTTTCAAAATAGAAAACCAGTTTAATTTTTCTAATTTTTATTATACAATAGACTTATAATTAAAACGCAATTAGATAGTAGACATTTAAGCATAGTAGCTGAGGTTGGCCTTCTTTTTGGCCTGGACTTCCAAGATGGCATCCATGAAGTCTTCGTGAGTGACAGCGGTAGCGGAGCGTCGTAGAGCGATCATACCGGCTTCCACGCATACAGCTTTGCATTGAGCGCCGTTGAAGTCGTCCGTGGAACGGGACAGTTCTTCAAAGTTGACGTCGGGGCATACATTCATTTTTCTGTTGAAAAGAATAATTAATTATTTATTTTGCACATTAAATTCATAAAATATCAGTTTTTGCGTATGTGTTTTTCACCATTTTGCGCCACGAGGCAAATTGTCGTGATAAGGATTAAATATTACTGAAATTGCAATTTTCAATTTAGTTTGTTGTTTTAGTTTGGTTCAAGGTTTATACGTCAGTTTAACATACGACTCTTCTACTCAAATAAGTAATGTTGATTACCTTGAGTGAATTTGCATAATGCGCGCTCTTGCTTCTTCATTCGGGTGTGGGAATTCAATCTTCCTATCCAGACGTCCAGACCTAAGCAATGCAGGATCCAGGATATCTACTCTGTTGGTGGCTGCAATGACCTATGAACAATGTTTAGAGTTTAATATTTTGTTACTGTAGAGAAGTATTTACTATTTGAAGACTAATTCACCAAACCTCAAGCGAACGCCGGCGATCGTGCACCTATTTTGTCTCGAACTACGACAGTTAAAGGCAAAACTAATTGGCTTCAGTGACATACGACATCACGCGCGTATTTCAGCAATTATTTTCTGAAATACTAGTTCTTTTAGCAATTTATTTTAAATATTAAATAATTGAGTAATTATATTTGATACATATAATTGGTTAGTATTAGCATCGATCACTAATAAAGAACTAGATACACAATCAGTGACAAAAAATGTCCTAACTGAAAGTCCACCAAACTCAACATCGCGGTGTAGTTTTAGTTTAGTACCACTCGAATGCTCCGACGGTAAACACGCCTCAATGCTCGTTTAAAAACTGCAAAAATCACACATCTAAGACGCAAAAAAGGATGGAATTTCATATTTTCGTTAAGTAATAATATTATCATTATATAATTGTCATCATTCTATTTTAAATATTGATATTTTATTAAGAAATCAACTTTAAAACTTTTTCCAAATGAAATCGTATTCAAAAACCGGGGTTATAATGCACACAGTTTATAAAGACACTTATACTAAACGTAAAATCATTCTCTAGCCTGACCACTTAAGTTGTTCGGTTTACGTGGATTGATTCTGTTCCGTTTAGCGGAGACGCTATTGTTTCTAATTTTATTTATTGTTTTTTTTTTTTTGAAAAATAGTTTTTATTTAATATTATACTTGTTTACTGTGTTTATTAAAATATGGAATAGGCAGATATAATGGATTTAATTTTAACTGCAGTAAAGACATTTTTTTTTAGCTTTCATCAAAATCCCGTGCTGTATGAAAAATTGATAACAATAAGGCCAACATTTTTAGTACTTACTTTAGATATATATTATTTTTATTATTTTACATCATTTTTATTTGACTTCGAATTTGGCAAATTTAGGAAGGATTAAGGAGGACGAAAATAATAAAAAAAAATTATAACTATATGCATTAGTTTCATTGGTAAATAAATGAACAAACCTATAGAAAATAATACTATAAGTAATGCGTTTTAATTTTCGTATTTTTTTTTATAAATTATCAAAAAAATTTGACAGAAATATATTTCTTACGAGACATTTCGACTCCAATCATTCTTTGTCCTAGCGGTGAGCCGAAGTCGTTAAATTTTATTGCTCATTTTTGACACATTGTAAATTCGACTTAAAAACATGCGAATATGGTTCAATTTCTTATGATTTATGCAAAAAATGTTTAGATTTTGTATATCACTTTGTGAAAACAACGCTATGAGTTGCATTTAAGGTTTAATTTACATTAATGCATGCTTATTTCAAGTATAAGTACCTAAATACAGTTGGCGACAGTTTTGAAGCGAACTTTTGTATGGGATTGTGTATCTAGTTCTTTATTAGTGATCGATGAGTATTAGTATCAAATATACTCATTAAAATTATAAAGATTCTACACAGATGTGGACTTGGAGAAAGGTGCAACTATCAGATTATACTCAAAGCATAAGATAAAATGCTTACCTTGATATCGGCAGTAGAACTGAATCCATCCAGTTGGTTGAGGAGCTCCAACATGGTACGCTGCACCTCACGGTCACCAGCTTTCTCAGAGTCAAAACGCTTGGTACCAATAGCATCAAGTTCATCAATGAAAATTATAGCTGGGGCCTTCTCCTTGGCTAGGGCGAAAGCATCTCGTACAAGTTTGGCACCATCACCTGTAAAAAAGAGAGAATGCCATTAAAAATCATGGTACTTATTATTATGCAGGGTCTGAGGGTATGAGTGTTTAGGGTCAGTATGTTTATATTATTTGTATAATTATAAGAATATTAAGACAAAACTACAGTTAAAAACTGGGTAGTTTCCTTGTTAATCAAAAATTAATTCAACATATAAAACCAAGTAATGACACTTTAATTAATGTTATAATATACTTGAGATAATTTAAGAGATATAAGTATGCTGTTTGATTTAAAAATATAAGACATCAACATGCTATTTCATACCAAATTCATTTCAGAAGAGTAATGCTTTTGACAAGTTGTAAACTACCCTATTGCCCAGTTCCATGAACAATGCCATGCTTACCAATGAACATCTGTACAAGTTGAGGTCCAGCCAGTTTAAGGAAGGTGGACTTGGTTTGTGCAGCACAGGCTCTCGCCAGCAAGGTCTTGCCTGTACCAGGGGGGCCGTACAGCAGCACACCCTTGGGAGGATGGATGCCCAGGTTCACAAACTTTTCCTTGTGTGTCATTGGCAGGACTACAGCTTCAATTAGTTCCTGGAAAATATAAGGATAGCATAATATTTTGTTTTTGTAGAAAAGTCAAGAGTACTAAAGTAATTTAAGTATGAAATAGATCAGCTGTAGTTCTTTGAAATTTATTATTTGACTAACAGTGACCTCAGGTAGAGTATAACAATACCTTAAATCAAACAATTTTAGCATAACCTAATATAAGTAGACTTTTTTGTGAACAGTCCTTTTATTTTGCCTGATATCCATTAACAATATGATAATTGCAATGTTCCAAACTTAAAAGTATATGTATTAATGTTTTTCAGTAATATTTTATTATGTTTATCATTATATATCATCTATGTAAGATGATTAAGCATTATAAACAAAACCAACCTGAATTTGTTTGTCCAATCCACCAATATCTGAGTACTGTTCAGTTGGTCTCTCATCCACCTCCATAGCCTTCACTCTGGCGTCGTACTCAGCCGGCAAAGTCTCCAAGATCAGATAAGAGTCCTTGTTGACACCAACTAGGTCACCTGGCTTCAACTTCTCAGCATCAACCAACCCAATGACTGGTAAGAAATACGTTTGACGAGTGGAAGTCTTGATGACTGCGCACTTTCCTTTACGCTGTGAGTCCAGGTCCACCACAGCTCCATCCTCCTCTTCTTCCTGAGGATCTACATCCAACAATTCTATCACATTCGATACCAAGTAAGGTAATGTTTTGTTCACTTTGATTTTCTCCGTGTTTTCCTTTATCTTGTCGTTTTGTGCCTGCAGCTCATGAGAAATCCTCATAACTTCACTCTTCATAATTTTAATCTCATTGTCTAGCAGTCTTGTTCGGCTTATGATCTCGTCTGTAGGCATCCGGAGAACTTCCTCACTCAGCGCCTCCTCGCCATCTTCCCAAATTGATTTATCTTCTAATGTCGTAGCCATTTTCAAGTTAAATATTAAATAGATAAGTTATGTTGTGAGAGAAACGATGCAAAACAATTTGTTCGAAAAATCTTGGAGTCACCAAAATGAATTGTCATTCCGGTTTCAGGGATGACAGTAACAAAAACCAAATAATCTCTTAATGTTATCACATGATAAAAAGGCAATGATAGGTTTTACTTATTTATTTATATCAGAAACTTTTAATAAGTCAATAAGCATTTACACCACTCAAGTTGAAAATTAACATGTTTTTTTGTGATATTTAAAGGATTACCATTCACTGTCCTGCATGTCTCACTGGTTTGGTATGGTATTGTGAAGCAGTCTTTAAAGCACTTTTTCTTTTCCAATTGGTTTGCAGTGTGAATTTTCATTGACGTTTTCTGTCACGTTAATGTCAAAAATTTGGATTTGGAAGTGTGATGTATTTTTGACGTATACGCGAAATTTCAATACTTGATGCAGTGCTAAAATATTTAAGTATATTCTCTTTTACGTGCTAAATATAGTAAAGAAATATAAATATGGCCCTTTCCACCTTGATTCGTACGCCAGGTAAGAAAACACGTGAAAGAAATAATTGTTTTGTTATTACATAATAGCAATCGGTTGTCAGGAGCTTTTACTCCTGTTTTCAGCTCTAAGTAGCATGTTCAATACTATTGAATTAACACTATGAAGTTGTAAATCTATTTGTGTTTCAATTCGTCACTGAAGTATGGTACATTTTGTTGTTTATCAACAAAAATAACTTGTTAATTATGTAGTTTTATTATTTTCTTCAACTGATATATCATTCAGACAATTCTATTTCTTATCATCATCGTTACCATCAATCTCAACCTTTAACTGTTCCACTGCAATGCCTAGGACATTTAAGTTAACAACACTACCGGTAAAATGATTAAAGCCTGTGACCAGAGTTTGAATCTAAATTATTTGAGATCTTGTGTTATGGTCTGTCTCAATATCCAATATACTTAGAGACTTAAAGCTTTGAGGTAGGAGAACACACACACAAATTATATGGAGGATGGGTAGTCATTGTTCTGGTGTTAAAACAATAGAATTGTTTATAGAAATGCTAGTATAGTGTGATATGTAAGGTGTATATAAAATATGCACTACTGTGTTGCCTACACAATATTTGAAGATAAGAATAACACTCTGTACACAGAGGCAGATTAATCCTTGGGAGCACCCTACCTCATTGGAACCCCTAATTTTCCATACCTCACTCAGCAACCTGGTGCCTAATGCATTAGCATTAGGCACAATCTAATTCATTTTAGGGATGATTTAGTTCTGACTATGCAATATCTTCTGCCCTCTCCATTATTTTGTTCCAAAAGCAGCTGGTAGAATGTACGATAATGAATGTACTGGCATTATAATGTTTACAATAATGTTCTGAACACTAAGAGTTTTTTCATGTATTGAGAAAAATACAACAGGATTTTGCTATAGATTTATTTTCCTTTATTGTGTATGAAATTTTGATAGTATTAGTAAAATTTTTATTTATATTGACTTGTTTTTGTTTATAGTGTTTGCAGGCCGGTTTTTTAGCCAACAAGTTTTGAAGTATGGATCTGTGAGTTGCATGCAGCGACCCCTAGCCAGTATGGTGCCCATTAGCCAACATGCATTCAAGGAAGTTACACAAACTCCTATCATTAACTCTGTAAGTTAAATATTTGATTAAATCAAAACATAAATGTAAATGTATTTATGTAAATAAGGGTGAACCAGGCTTTGGCATGCCTGGGATGATTTGACCTATTTGATACAATGGCCTCATAGACATTTTTTCCATTAATTTGACCATCGTGTTTTGCCATGTGAGGTTACAGGAGCCTTTATCAACTGCCACTTACTAAGTACTAAGATCCCCCAATTCCTGCAATCTCTTCCCTCTAAAGGCTGACAATGTACTTGCAAGTGGAACACGTCTGGTGCTATGAGTGTGCGTGGACGGAGCTGATTGCTTACCATCCATTGTGTGATCAGTTTTTCTTATCTCTGTCATATCCCATAAAAAAAAAACAATAAAAATACCAAGTACCAGCTAGAATGTAGTATACTGATCCAACTAGATATTAAAATTGATTAAAATTGAATGAACTACAATCATTTTAAGTTTGATGAAAACACATGTGATTGTTTGATTTGTTGTGCCACAGGGTATAATATTGGGACCATTTTTGTAAGCAAACATTTATAGAAAACTGCTTAAAAATCAAAATGATATTATTTCAGGTAAGATCGTTCCGTACGTCGCCGGTGAGTCTTTCTGGTGAAAAGCCTCATGACCACTCGAAACTGTGGGTGATAGAGAAAGGAGTGGCTGCACTCATGGTACCTCTTCTGCCTCTGGGCTTGTTGATCCCAAACAAGCTGTTTGACTCTGCCATTGCTATCCTCATTTGTGCACATTCATTTTGGTAAGTGTTCACTTTTTAACATCTTACAAATAATAAAATTTACCAAATCCTTTTCCAAATTCCTTAAGCAGTTTTTGAGTGCCTTTTACCAAAACTCCATTCTTTTTCGAGTGTTTCTAAACTTGTAGTCAAATCAAGCGCCTCATCATTTAATTCGATATATGCAAACTATTTACCAAGATTAATTGAATTAATTATGATTAACGGTTTACCCACTCTAGAGTGGGTAATAACATGACTAGTTTCAAACCACGCTAGGTGCTTCATGATCAGCGTATCCGCGCAGCCAACTGATTATGCTTCGTGAGTAAGCCATTAAGTCTCTCTAAGTTTAAAACAGAATTGTAACAATCCCACTTTAACTTTCCTAGATTCCTACCTTTCTCTATCCTACACAATCTTTCCCATTTCCCAGGGGCCTTGAAGCTATGGTTGTGGAATATGTGAGAGTACTCCTATTTGGTCCCTTTTTACCTAAAGTAGCGATGGGAGTCGTGTATTTTGTAACGGTGACAATGCTCGGAGGGCTGTTCTACCTGATCTTCAATGATATCGGCCTCTGCAGAGCCTTCTGGAGGATTTGGAGGAACATGAGGAAGCCCAAGTACACTCACAGTAAGAAGAGGAAGTGTTAGATGAAGGTTATTTTTTTTGCCGGTTGTAGATACTTAGCGTAGGAGTCAGCTAGTTCTAGACATTAATTTATTTGTGGACTTCAAGTGATTGCACTTAAAGTGATGAGCTCGCACATGGAACGAACGTAGCGCTAACATCTATAAAGAACATTAAAGAAAAGAGGCAGTAATGTCTCCCCTAGAGTATAGAAACATTAAGAAATTCAGAAATAGCGGATCTCGTTAAGAAAATGATACAGTAGATGAATCATTACTGATAACTGTAGACAGTGTTAGCGATAACATGCTGACATTTGATGCGATCTCATTACGCGATAAACTATATGCGGCATCGGTTGTGATGACTTTATTTCAGTGTGTTGTTTTGGCTAGAATAATATTATTTTCTTCCTCCTGGTCCTACAAATCCTACCAAAGGTGTTTTTTACCGTTACTAATAAATATTAAATTCTAAATTCTGGATAAACTACAAGCGGGATATGCTACTGAAACTGAGTCAACGCATAAAGTTTTAAATGAGTGACAGTTAAAACCGTAGCATTTATGTCCCATATTTAAACAGTCTTTTGTTATTTTAATTGTACATTTATTACATCAACCGCTAATTTTTCGCGTTTCTCTTACAGGGGTCTGGAAGCGATCGCCATAGACTACGTCCGCGCCAGTGTTGTAGGTCCCATCCTCCCCAAAATTGCCCTCGGGCTTGTGTACCTTATCTCCATAGCAATGCTTGGCGGTCTCTTCTACATCATTGGCCACGATGACGGCCTCGCGAACACCATCAAACAAATCTGGGCCATCAAATCTGACCGCCAAAAATCATAAATGCGGTCAAATAATTACCTAGTATTATAGGATTAGCTGGAACTTTTAGCTCTAACTTTAACCTAGGAAGATTTTTTTTAATAATAATTGATTACGTCTCAATGAGGTTATGATTTACAAAAGATTATAACTATAGGTAACGTTGTTGATATATTTGTAATTAGGTTATTGTTACTGTTTAAATGTGACAGCTGACCGTTTTATTGTAGGATGTCATAGTTTGGAAATATTCGCGAGGTCTGTGGCTAGAGGAAGTTGCTCGACTATACTTGGCAATGCTATGGATCACTGAGTAATGGCCACTTGTTCAGTAAAACCTTTGCAATATTACATTATTGATCGTTCACTTGTTTTTAAACGTACGTTCAAGGATTACCCAAGTGAACTAGTGAATGGTCGGAATCAGTTCTGAATTTGCAGAGGTTCTGCCTTCAGAGTGGTGCGAAAATGCATTTGTTATGGGGATTTTATAAAAACAAGGACATTTGATTTTGTTTTATTACGTCTTTTGGTTTTTATTTTGAGTTATACTCAAAAGGTATTGTTTTTAGAATATACTACAAGTTACAATGTGCTCGTAATCGAATTACTAGTGAAATTGTAATGTCTTTTATCAAACTTAAATTTTTAAGTTTTGTTTGTGTAAGTTAAATTTTCTGGTTTTTATAAATTCCCCACGACTCGTATTAGGTACTTAAAATAGCACAAGATCATGAAATTTCGTCGTTTATCGAGTTATTATTTATTATTTTTACCATTATATCATTTGTTCTGGAATTGTAAATGTTCGATGTCATTTATCATTAGAATAAACGATAGTTGGAAAGTATTTTGTTTTATTTATGGGTACCCATTCCAAACTATTGTTAAAAAAATTTGCCTTCAAACATTGACCCAACCCCCCTTATTACAAAACAAGATTTAACTTTAGTCCAGGTTTAAACCATTAAGTCGGGTTTTGAATTTTGAATCTTATTGTCATCTACCTTCAATTCGAAATACGAAAACTGCCCCTTTGTCAATAATAAGGCTGAACGTGTTTAACTTAACATAATTATTATGTACTCCTAAGCTTTGAGCTATTTTATGTCTCTCTCCTCAGCTCAGAGTATTGCGATAAGGAATGTCAGACCACCTTATTGCCGGCGGTACCTACCTGATTGGGCTTGCCCCACAGCCCCGGCTGAACATCATCAACATAAGTCTAAAGCCACATAAACACAATGCAAGTTACTTGCCTCTTGCAATCAATTAAAGCAATATTTTCTGTTAGTCTAAACATTATTGTTTCTACAAACACGGGACTCAAACGCAACGCGTAACTAAACCTATTTATTGAATTCAATTGTTGCTCTTGCATGTCCAAGAAAATGTAAAGTGCAAGAATGGTAAAGCCTTAGTAGACCAATTCCTGGTCAACTCATTTTTGTTGTTTTTTACTTGAAGAAGGTTCATGATTTTTTTTAAGTTTAGGCGAAAGTTTGTAGTTTTGTCGCTAGTGAGGCAGTTGGGTGCGAGGCAGAGCCGGGCTATTAAATAGAATGAGCTATAAAATTATAGCTAAAGATAAAAGTTAGTTTATAAGACCGCGCTAAGGTCTGGAACTAGGTATTACTGGGTCGAGTAGTGCAATTGTTTTGTTTTGGATAGTCCTTTTATTTAGCTATAGCCTGAGCACCACCCGACCAGTAAAGTCTAGCAACGGGTGAAACCGCGGCGGACTTAAGTGTTTCGGTCTTTTTAAGGTTGATTTCGGGATGTCCAAAAATTAAAAATACGTAACTTTTACATTTAATTATAAAACCACAAATTCTGCAGAAGAAAGATAGTAGAATTACCTACATACGCTCGAAATTTTTCAAGTTAGCAGGCACTTACTATATTTTTTCATTCTTGCATTCTCCTAGAGATGTCGCTGACTAGAAATCGAAAGATTCACACCGGTCTATCTTCACTAGACTTACTGTTGGTAAACTTCAGATAAACCATATTCCGTTTTCCCTAACACCTCTTCGTGTATTTCTTTAAGTTTTCTCCGGGCTTCCATGACCTCGCGACTTGTCAAATTCATAGATTTCCCTTTCATCTCCAGTAAATCAAGAATGGACACAATCCTCTTCCACTTTTGATCGTGTGTCGGTGAATGTTTTTCTTCGGAACTGTAGAACTGAATGCCTTCCCTCTCCCGAGCTTTCTTCACATTGTAGAGCAGTTGTGATCTGAGTGTCAGTTTTGATGGTTCGATTGACTGGAATTGAGTGAGAAATGTATTGAAGAAATATCAGGTAACAGTGCTTAGAGTAAGGTAGTTTCCAAAATACTTTTTATGACACTTTTGTAAGAAATAGCACGTCGTGACGTCATATTTTTTTTTATGTCAAATGGCGTAGCTATTATTTTCCTTTAATTATTATATAAAAAATACGAATATTAAGTATACCTATCGAACAATAAATGAATGAATATGTCGTTAAGATTACCTAAGCAGGTATTTATATGGTTTTATAAGTTGAAACATTTCCTTTTTGAATAAGGAAACATTAACCAATGAGATCTGAAGCTTTTAAACTGGGATTTTTAGCTCGCCTTTAGGTTTTGGAGAACCATTATTTGTATAGGGGATCCAGAGTCCAGGAGCACTTCGATTTTAAAAAAAGAAACGCCCTATTTTGGGATTTTCTCCTTTGTCGTGGGTTTTTTTTTGTGAGGGGAAAATCATCAAATGGCTTCTCCCGCCCAGGGCCGGGCAGGAGGGAGTGTCAGACTCTTACTGACTAAAAACCCCCCTGTTCCTTCTCCTGCTCTATGCCGAGGTCGCGGTACCTGATTGCGTTTACCCCGCAGCTGGGTGCGATTACAAATATACAATTTCACACTCAGACCAGAAAAAACAATTTGCATGCGGGAATCGGACCCGCCACACGTAAAAATTTAAGGAAATTCTATGGAAGACTAGCTTTTTGATGACCTTCAACAACCTACCTCGTCATAAAAATATAAATCGTCTGTTGTAAGTGAACTCTTGACATCGTTGTCCAAAGATCTGAAAACAAATGAATTGACTGAAAATTGAAATGTTTAGGTTGAGACTAAGTTCCTAGGTATACATAAGTACTAATAGAAAATAAATTCCCACTGCAGAAACACTGCTAATTTAGCTAAAATTTAAGGTAGATACCGTATAGACTGAGCAACGATCAAAAATTATCTCCTGCCGAATGTGGCACCATTGTAGAAGAGGTAGGTACCTATGTATAGTCCAACAGTGGATAATGGGTGTTAGACATAACTAAATCTTGTTACATCACCTTCATGTAAGTCGTACCAACTTAATATGGGAAGTATTGGGTCTCCGGTAATCTCAGTTAGATACACGGCAAAACACAACATAAGCATCCAAACAACGCAAGCAAGGGTTTGTTTGCGCCTAAAGGGCCATCAGACCACTGCAGACGGTGCCCAATAAGGCTGATGTCCAGCCAGGGATGTTTGTTTCTTGACGAGTGCAAGAGCAATGATACCGAGGCCTTTGTTCGAAGCAGGAGAAGGAACGGGGTGGTTTTTAGTCAGTAAGAGTCTAATACTCCCTCCTGTCCCAACCAGAGCGCGAGAAGTTATTAGATGATTTTCCCCCTCAAAAAAAGCTGATTGTAAGTTGGTACCCAAACTACTCACATAGGCGCTATTGGCCATTGTTAAACAGCCCCTTAATCATACTTTTCATGTTTGGTGGTATGATGGCCAATGCGCAGACGGATTACCTGATAGTAAACAATCAGTACCGCCCATGGACATCCGCAACAATAGAGTAGTTACGACTGCGTTTCCGATCTTTTGGGGATCAGAGATTGGGCAAAGGAAAGGATTGGGCCTCCGGCACCCTCAGTGACACGGCGAAACACAACGCAGTGGTTGTTTCACGCCAGTTTTCCGTGAAGCCGTGGTATCATCGGTCGAGCCAACTCATTCGTGCCGAAGCATATCCTCTCCTGCACTTAACTTTATTCTTTTTCGTTCGTCTTTTCATTACAAACCTACCTTCGCAGAACTTTATTCTTCTTTATACCATAACGCTTAAGCCTTGGGTCGTTCTGCAACGTGAATATGGGCATCATCACAATCTTGGGCTTGCAGCTATCGTTGCTTCCACCAGGGCTTTCTGTTGCTGGCCAAATTATGGTCGGAAATGTGTTCGGTCGCGTGTGGTGTCGTACCATTTGTTTTATTGGTTTGAGTTTATTAATAGATTCTGGTTGAGGCTGATAGTACCCATTGTTTGATGACGGTCGTGTCCCAGTTGGTGATGGTGCTGAAATAATTGTGGTAGGTAATTGTTACAAGATGTACGTATAATTATTTCTACTTATTTAGTAAAAATCTAAGAATATGGGAGGTAATACTACTTAGAGGAGAGTATTGTCAGTTTTACCTCTTTCGAGATTTGTTGACGACAACTGCGTTTTTCGCAAAAGCTTCGCACAGCAAAACTAGGAATCGTTTTTCGGTCGCGTTCTTTACGCATCCATACGACCTTCAAACCTTAAAGAAAAGAGTGTCCCTTCTTTTTAAAAGCCCGGGACCACACTTGGGTCTCGTCTGGTGTTTATTCATCACTTACCATAAGGCGATCCATCAGCTCGTTTGTCTTCTATTCCATAAAAAAGAACAACAGGTTACAAATTCGACCGGTTTGGTCTAAATAGGTTTTTATTCGGTTTTCAAGTTTTCGTACACCTTCAGCAGCATTATGTCAAGTCACCTACTGCATACCTGCATCTACTCCGCAACGACTCGCCTCCTAGTATTCTTTATATAGTCTTATATGGGCATGCGTTCACTATATCAACTCCCTAACGGCACTAGATCGCCTCGGTTTCGCCTTGGTCAGGCCACGTGCGGGTTCTGAGTGGACCACGTGCTGCCCTAGTGCTAATTATTAACAGACTTTTCGAAAATTCGTGGACTAAGCGACGTATATTCGTTGACCCCTTGGCGATCTCGTTTACTGAGTTGGGTCCACTGGTTAACCGCGGGAAGTTAATGGATACCCAGCGACGAGGAGTTGCAGGGTGGGTGCCGGATAGAACTTATGAGTTGTGACCCCTTGTCGCCGTTTTTATATAAGTATTCTTATAAATTTCTTATTACCAAGGCAATCGATTCCTTACCGATATTCATAGGTATACAGAGACAGCCTTCGTCCTCTTTATACCCGGAGGGACAGCCGCACCTCGGGGAAGCCCTGTCCTCTGGGCTCGGAGGGTCAGTGTTGTACACTGGCATATTCTGTACCGGCGAGTGTGACATGTAACACTTTAAGTGTGTCATCTGAAATTTATGGTCAATAAGTGCTGTTTAAAAGTTGTTCAAGAAAGTGTTGAGTTTTTGCCAGATTTGTTAGGTACCTATTAGGGTTGTGGTGGTTACAGGTTGACGGATGGATGACCATCACAAAGTTCATATATTTAAGTGTGGGAGAGCCATGCTTCGGCACGAATGCGTCGGCTCGACCACAATGATCCACGTGATACCACGGCCTCTTAGAAAACCGGCGTGAAACAACCACAGCGTTGTGTTTCACCGTGTGAGTGAGGTTACCGGAGGCCCAATCCTTCTCCACCCCCAATACCTCCTCAATCCCTAAATATTCAAATTCCTAATCCCTAAAAGGTCGGCAACGCACTCGTAACTCCTCCGTTGCGGGTGTCCATGGGCGGCGTTGATTACTTACTATCAGGTAATCCGTCTGCTCGTTTGCCGATCTATTACATACAAAAAAAGTGTGTCATCAATATTTAGCCAAAGAATCTGAAACAGAAAATAATCTCAACGACAAACAGTTTCGAGATCACCAGTCCCAATTGACGGCGTGATTGAGTGAGTGGAGTATTACTGGAGGCCTACCTTTGCCCACTCGAATTACTAAGGACCCCCAAAAAGTAGCATCGTACTTGTCTCTATAACTTAAAATCAGGTCTTCCTTCCAGTCGGTTGCCATATAATACCATATACCATAATAAAAAAAAAATAACCTTTGAGGCCCTCAAGACCTCAGACCAGACAAGAAGTATCGTGCAGCTAATTAACATTTTGAAAATAGGTCAGCGGGGGGTAGTACAATCGCACCGTTATCCGGAATCGCAACCTGATCACAATCGTCACGGTAAGACCAACAGAACGAGATCGCCAAACAAATATTTCTCGTACCGTCTTATACGACCGGCACTTTCTTACAGTACTTTTTAAGAACACGATTTGGGTGATATCGATCTACGAAGCTGGGAATTAGACTTACATCATTTTGAAAAGATTGATATACAGCTAGCCCGCATCCGATGTGTGTTAGGTCTCCCACCACTAGTCGCAGGAAGCGTAGCTTGGGCTCTCTGAAAAATAATTGATTAATTCGAAGACAAGAAGCGACTGCTGAATTCAAATATGGATGGACTGAAAAGAAGAAGGTGAGAGAGGTTTTGTGAGAAGAGTAAAACGATAGGGTTGTCTGAAATGTGTTGAACCCAACTACACAAAGTGAATTGGGGATGGTTTTTTGGATAAGTTAGAAACGATTATTTAAAGGGTGGACGGAAGAAGGAGCAACATAAAAACTGGAAGATTCAAGTAGGTATATTTTTTAGACTATGACAGATAGTTAATATAATGTTATATTAACTACCTCACACAGCAAAACATTGGAATGGTTTTCTTGCGCGATATTTCCGTACCGATACGACCTTAAAACCTTCAAGAAACGTAGGTACTCGTTCTGAGTAGTAGGTACGTGCTCCTTCTTAAAAGGTCGGCAACGGGCTTGTGAGTCATCTGGTGTTGCGCTCTTAAAAATATTCTGGGCTTGGGCTTGGACTTGGCTGGTTAATTACATTAGTTAGGTATTTTCTTTATTCTTATATTTGGTTCCATAACTTACTCATTTCTTATATTGGGTCCAACGAAGACATCGTCGATCATAACTCTGTATTCTTCAAATTCCCTGAGAATATCATCTACCGCCTCTTCCATTGAGTCGACATTCGTACTGGATAGATATGCCATTATCGGATTGGAGAATTTGGCTAAAATTGAGGATTTTTTACAATTTGTGTGCATTTATGAATCAGCGTTTTTGAAACGGCTAGAAATCTATACTAATATTATGAAGCTGTGAGTTTGTTTGTTTGAACTACTGGTTCTAATCGAACAATTTTTTATGTGTTCGTTAGTCTATTAATCGAGGAAGGCTTTAGGCTATAAAACATCACACTACGATATGTAGGAGCAGAGGGTGAAATCGCGGGACAGTAACTGGTTTTATATACATAATATACATAATCATCGTTAATTCCTTTCTAAGGCAAGCTCCTTCGATATCGAGACGACGATATTTTTATATGAAACGCTGCCCTGCTGCTTCGTCAACTGTGCAAATAATTTCACGGGAGTACAGTGTTAAGACTGATTAAGTATCTCTTTAGCGCTATAAGGAATGAGAGTTGGTCTCCACCTAATTATAATTCTGTCTGCTCTCCCTTTTTTCTTCTGCGATGGAAACGTCTAACACCTTTCCAACAGTTCAGATGTGTACTTACATGTAGCAGCGCAGGTGTAGTCAGTTTGTGAGTGGCACATGGAAATCACTAGCTTTGCTATAGCCGCCAACTCGCTGTCCCAAGACTACAAAGGTTTACATTCCATTAAGATTTGATAAAACTTAAGGAGGTCCTTAAGGGAAGGCGAACAGGTTCCAATAAATTGGGACATGAATACTTTTACGAATCAAAATTAAAGTCAAGATCGATAGCGTTCAATTTAGCGCGGCATTGTGTACTTATGTAAAATTGGCATAATACAAATATGAAGTATGTCGTATAATCAATGATTTTTTAATGCCCTTCATAAAAAAATCAACGAGACGTTGAGGAATTGTCATGACCCTGTCGTGGGAAAATCATCAAGTGACTTCTCTCGCCTTGGCTAGGGTAAAAGGGAAGTTTCACTGATTGACTAAACCCCTTTCCCTACCCCTTTCCCTCTTTTGCTGTTATTGCGCTTGCATCCGCTACAACGGAATTTTGGCTAAGCCTATCGAGGATATTAAGAAATCTTTTATATTGATGATTATTAAATTTACTTACAACTCTCATCATTCCGTATCCTTTAGGTAAGTATCCGTCCTCACCGTCGGCTTCACCATTAGCTACTGCACTTCTCACCCTAGAAAAATGTGACAGCTGACTATGATGCTACTTATTTTTGGAGACAGGAAGTCATTTACTTCATCCTATTACAATTAAATGAGTTTAACACAAGGTACTTGTATCCAATATTGAAGTTGTCATGTTCACTCACTTCAAGGTCTTATTGGCTGTGGCAAGGGCTCTGTATCGTTGGATTGCATAAATGAGATAAGGCATTTCGGTTCTGGGAGTAACGACTAAGGAAGTATCGGATTCTTAGCTCACTAAATCCCCGATAGAATACTCAAGTGTGTGAGGGTATCGAGTCTAGGGAATAGACCATACCATTACTGAACAGTAAGATACATATTTTGCCCATCCCTTGAGTGCCATGATACTATTTTTGTAACATGCTGTGTGTGGACACTTACCTGTTTATCCGAGAAACTATTTCTGAAGCCATGTTCTCATTTATATCGTAATATTTGTAATGACGGCAGTCTCCCTCATGACCCTGGCAACCAAAATATCAATAAAGATTTTTGCAAAGTATCTATAAGTAGGTACCCGTCCCGGTGTCCGTTTACTTTGAAAACCAAATTTTTATTGTATGTACCTATATGGGGAGGAGGACCTACTGGATCTCGATCGATTCTAAAATAATATCTTCAAACTACTTTTTTCGCTCTGAGTGCGGCGAGACGGGTTGCCAAAAGGCCCCACTCTGGTGGTCTGTTGGGTCTTTGAGGCGCGCGGATTGCTACGCGTCGTACCATTGGGTTTTGTTTTGTGGCTTACGTTGCTTACGGTGGCCGGAGATCGTCGCGCGATCTCTAAGGCCCGGATCATCGGCTATTGTAGCGGTTGGGACGTGCAAAGGGGACTTCAATGTCGTCCTTTTTCGCAAGTGATGTTGCTTGGCAGAAAGAGCACCATGGCCTCGAGTAAGGACAGTCGCAAGTGGCCGCGATAGCCGCGGATAATGGCTATGACCCTTTTAACATAGGCCACTTCCAATGACTTCCAAATATTCTTTACCTTACAGAAAAGAAGACAGTTAGGTACTTACGTGGTATTTGCATACGGCATGAGGTGCCGGCCTCATGGACTCTGCGCACAGCCTTCTTCCGTTCACACAGTAATAGTTTGCGTCTAACTTGTCAAATACTTTAAAGCTATTTGTAAGCGTTATTTTTACAATAAGGACACAAATTAATGATATTGTGAAAGTCTGAAACAAATAATGGCACACTCAAATTAAACAATTAGCGCTGTATTTCTGTATTTTGTTACCGGAGGCCCAATCCCGCCCCTTCCCGATCCTTATATCCGCAACCCCTATCCTCAAAAGGCCGGCAACGCACTGGTAACTCCATAGGTGTTGCAGGTGTCCAAGGGCGGCGCCGATTGCTTACCATCAGGTAATCCGTCTGCTAGTTTGCCGACTTATACTTACCTACCATAAAAAAAATTGGCATAGCACCCACAATGGAGTAGATTGATCCACCGATGCTTGCTCTTTTTTTTTGGACTCGTTACCCAGGCCAGATGTTGTCGACGATGGTCATTTGAATCTTATAGATAATTAGTTGTGCGGCTTCTGTAATTGTTGCGCACATTTTTAAATTTGTTGCGCTCATAGTTTTTTAATTATTTCACAAAAACATTTCCTGCTGGCGTAACGTTACCACAGCCAGACCTTTTTCTTTCTAATGGGAATATTTAAATAAATATTAGCTATAAAATTAGTTGTCTAGATAAAGTAAATGTTGTGCCTTATTTTGTATTTGTTCTTTCTTCGGTTGCGAAGTTATTCGAGATTTTGCTGCGGTAACGTTTTTGGTTTTGCTAGATCTTTGAAATGGTTAAGCGGATTCTTATCATATTTTGTACACGACTTCCGAGGACTTAGTTTAAATTTGTTGTGCAATAACAAAACCAAAATAATGCATATTTTAAAGGTTTTTCCATTAAATAGATAAGAATCCGCTTAACCATTTCAAAGATCTAGCAAAACCAAAAACGTTACCGCAGCAAAATCTCGAATAACTTCGCAACCGAAGAAAGAACAAATACAAAATAAGGCACAACATTTACTTTATCTAGACAACTAATTTTATAGCTAATATTTATTTAAATATTCCTATTAGAAAGAAAAAGGTCTGGCTGTGGTAACGTTACGCCAGCAGGAAATGTTTTTGTGAAATAATTAAAAAACTATAAGCGCAACAAATTTAAAAATGTGCGCAATAATTACAGAAGCCGCACAACTAATTATCTATAAGATTCAAATGACCATTGTCGACAACATCTGGCCTGGGTAACGGACACAGGCCCAGTCCTTCCCCTCCCCCAAATCCCTAAAAGGTCGGCAACGCACTCGTAACTCCTCCGTTGCGGGTGTCCATTAGCGGCGCTGATTGCTTACCATCAGGTAATCCGTCGTTTGCCGACCTACTACAAAAAAAGGACGGCAGAATAAAAAGGTTAATTTTAAGTAAGGGGTTCGTCAAGGCAGCTGGGGTTGCGGGGTAAGCGCAATGAGGCACCGCGAACTCGGCCCAGAGCAGGAGAAGGAACAGGGTAGTTTTTAGGCAGTAAGAGTCTGACACTCTCTTCGCCCTGCCCCGGGCGACAGAAGTCATTTGACAAATCCCCCTCTAATAATGATAGCAGTAACTGAATAACCAATTACCAATATGCGTTACCAATTCTAGATTATTCTTAGATGTAAGAAATCAATGAAACACTTCAAGTACAATTATAATTCGTTTAATATTTCAATAAATAATATATTATATTCATAACGAAAATAATAAATTAACTACTTTGTAGGCTCAAATGAACATTTTGTGCACTCACGTCGGCACATATAACATTCTAAACTTTATTAGATAACAATAAAGTTGAACATTGAATAACCATAATAGGGTAACTTCATATGTTGACGTTTCTACATTATTTTTACTGTATTTTTATTATTTGGCTTTGCAATATTGGCTTTTTAGCCACATGTGCAAAATTTGAGTGAGATATTACATGTTTTACTATTAATTTCAAGGATATTTTGAAAGTGACTAAGATCAAAGATAAATAGTGTTCCAGTTTAATAGTAATTTGTAATGTGATACTAAGTTTTAGATACAAGAGCTATAAAAATGAAAATTACTTATAAAGATAAATTAATTATTATTACAAGATGGCTTTTACAATAATAAATCAATGGTTTATTAAACTTGTACTTTTAATCGGCAAAATGGACGTGTCAGTAATTGTAATTCGAGATAAAGAGAGGCAGAGAGACAGACAAGTCAAACAAAACGCGCTGTTACGTAACTTATGTACGTATTTATACACCGACATAATAATAAAGTATACATTATTGAATTAGAATGAAAGAGATAGACGATTTGTCTTCGAGTTGTCGTCCATTTTTATTTTTATCAGAATGTCTTCTATAATAAAATACGAAGTGTTTTTTTTGTTGAAAATACTATTTTTTAAGGCGATACGTGAATTAGGTAATAAAACAAATCAGGAAGAAACTATTTTAAAACTGTGCAAATAAAGACGAAAGTTTTTGCGCAAGTCTTTTGCGCAACAACCAAACTTTGCGCAAGACTTTTGCACAACAATAAAACTTTGCGCAAGTCTTTTGCGCCACTGCTTATATTATTTGCGCAATCTTGTACTATAGAATTATGTAACGGATATAATTTGCGTAAGTGTATTTATACTGTAAGTACTTTAACATATTTGCTGTGTTCGTAAAAAGCAACCGTATTGACAACGACAAAACCCTTATTATCTTCTTAGTTACACTTGCGCATAAAAACAGATAAACAGTGTTCTTTATTTCAATATAAATACGGTTCGTTTTAGCTCCGTGGCTGGCTAATTATGCTAGGTATTTAAAGGCAATTGAGGCAGTTTGATCAGGTCCTGGTGACGTGCCTTCTGTGGAAGATGTCGAGAGCCTCCCATTGCTTGGTGTGCAGTAGGATGTGAGGTCTTCGTGTGCGCATGTAGTTTACTGCTTCCTGTGGCGACCAGCCGTTTTTCTGCAACATTTAAGTGTTGATTGTTAAGAGTTGTTGTGAGATGTACTCATTATCTTAGATTATCTGTTAAACAATATGAAAGTACGCACGTAAAATAAATAAATTTTTACGTATAATTTCAGATAGAGACCACGAAAAAAAAAAATAGAATAGAACGGGTATAACAACTTCAAGCCTTTTGAGCATTCCAAACAATTCTCATACTTGCTTTTTATGATGTAAATTATTTATTTATTTTTTAAAGAAAAACGTTGCCCTACACTATGATCCTCTCCTGTGTCGTGGGTGCGTTTACAAACATACAATTTCACATGCACATCACACCCAGACCCGGAACAACAATCTGTAGATCACACTAAGAGTTGTTCCGTGCGGGAATCGAACCCGCGACGCGTTGCGCGGCAGCCAGTTGCCCAGCCACCGCGCCAACTGTGCAGTCAAGCCAATTTGTTCAGGCGTAGTTGCGTTATGCGCAACACATTTTGCCATTAATTTTTTACTACAGAATTTAACGTACCATCATAAGGTAGCAACCTACGAGCGTTGCGCTGCGCGTGCGCCCCGCCTTGCAATGTACGTACACGGAGCCACTGTTCACTTGCTCACACTCCGTCGGCACGCCTGACAGCTTGCAGTCCGCCGGGAGAAACCTGGACAACAAAACACCAAGAATTATAAAAAGAAAACTATCTACAATTCTGAACTTGGGCCAATTGAGTAGAACTAATATTTAAGTATTTTCAAAATGTTAATTAGCTGCTCGATACTTCTTGTCTGGAGGTCTTGAGGGCCTCAAAGGTTATTATTTTTATGGTATATGGTATTATATGGCAACTGACTGGATGGAAGACCTGATTTTAAGTTATCAGCGCGACCCATGGACACCAAAATAGGGACAAAGTGCGTTGGTACTTTTTGGGAGTCCTTTGTAATTCGAGTGGGAAAAATGAAGGCCTCCGGTAACCCCACTCACTCAATCACGCCGTCAATTGGGACTGGTGATCTCGAAACTGTTTGTCGTTGAGATTATTTTCTTTTTCGGATTCTTTGTATCGACTAAATGCTGTAACAGCAACGGAGTAACCATGGAGTCTCTTGCTCGTTCTTCTATACAAGGATCTACATATGTATACCTTCAATATAGGACAGACCGACAGACGGCCATAAAAAGTTGCAATTTTTGGGAGAGCCCAACCGAGGTGATACAGTGACCGAAAACCGGCGTGAAACATTCACAGCGTTGTGCTTCGCCGTGTGAGTGAGGTTACCTGAGGCCATCACCCGCAGGAAGATGGGTTAGTAACGGTCGCTAGCATACGGCTTGTAGGTACATAAGTAGGTTACCTGTTAATAAACGTGACTCCCTCAAACAGTTTGTCCTGGTCGGGCGCTTCGAATATGTCTGTCGTAGCCAGCTGGAGGAATTCCACGCCTTGTTCACGCCATTTCTGAAAATGATAGAATATTCATAAATCACAGATTATCAGTAAGACTTCTAACTTCTTCTGGTCCTATGTTATACAAAGCAAAGGTGGTTGCCTAATCAACCATTTTCTTGCGGGGTAAAATCTTCAAATTATGTCTCCAACCCAGTGTGAGGTAGGGTAAGAGGGAGAGTCAGACTGTTACTGACTAAAAATCACCCTGTTCCTTCTCCGGGCCGTGTCGCGTCCCATCATTGTGCTCAAAAGTCAAAAAGTCAAAATCATTTATTCCAACCAAACCATAAACAGGTGCTTTTGAAACGTCAAAATAGAGTAGTAGTCTGTCAGTCTGTTCGTCAGTAAAACCAGGTGCTCCTTTGATTATTATACTAACTTTTTGAAAAGCACCTCTTTGATTCATTGTACTCATTCCACATTGTACTCTTTTCAAAAAGTTTTTTTTTAATTTCACTAATACATTATTTAATATACATTATTGTACCCTTATAGGCTCATATATATACCCATGAGCAATGCAGACACAACTTGTTAAAAAAAATATCTATCATTAAATTTAAAATCCTTTATCGTCTCAAACATAGTGCTCACACCTAAACCCCCGACACCTAACTAAACCTAACTTCATACTTCAAAGTAAAAACGGAATAACGTATGTTGCAAAATTTAATATCTACTCTCATTAACTTTATTTTACATAGTTAACCCACCCTCATTAGCTTTGTTCCTTATATTACATTAACTTGCAAAAATATGATGAAAGAAAAAGAAAAAATGACACAATATTTTCTTAAAATTTCTATAGAATCACACACTAATCAAATACAAAAATTACACAGACACAAAATCAAGTACACGTCTTCGGCCGTACGCACAAGGTCGAAAATAAGTAACCAGTAATGTTTTAACAATTTTCTTTAATGCAACGAATAAATTACCTTGTACAACGATTTCCTTTCTTATTTTACATAAAATAAGAGGAGACACGATTAAAATTACTATTATACAAACGTTCACATTTTGGGTGCTATCGATTTTTTATTTACAGACAGGTGCATTATGAAATTTCTTGTTTTCATGTGCATCAGGGATTATAATTTTATTTTATTGAAAACTAGCGCTAACTATCTAACTATCTTTTCTAATATTTTCTTTGATAAGAACCTTCTCCTGACAATATCAAACATAACAAAAAAAGAATTAGCAAAATTGGTCCAGGCGTTGTTGAGTTATGCGCTTACGAACACATTTTGCGATCCATTTTTATATATAAGAAGATAATCTATCCACAAAATAGTTATATAATATTCTTTGACTATTATTAATGTATACGAGGGTGTTTTTTTTTTTAATTTAGTTTGAAAGCGTTCTATTTTTGCCCTTTCTTACCTAATGGTTGGCGAGCTATTAGGCAATGTACTTGAGTTTCTTGACAATGTTTTTAGCCTATAGCGTTTCTCGATAAAAGGACTATCGTTCAAAAATCGAACTAGTAGTTTCGGAAATAAGGTCGGCAAACGAGCAGACGGATTACCTAATTGTAAACAATCAGCGCTGGCCATGGACCACGCGCAGCAACAGAGGAGTTACGAGTGCGTAACCAACTTTTTGGAGATAAGGGAATGGGGGAGGGGAATCACTCACACGGCAAAACACAACGCTGTGGTTGTTTCACGTCGGTATTCTGTGAGACCGTGGTATCACGTGGTCGAGCAGACCCATTCGGGGCGAAGCATCTTCTCTCCCTCACTTAAAATTTTTTCCTGCTCTGGTTGAGGCGAGAGGGAGTCTCAATCTCTTACTGACTTTAAACTAACCTGGCCCTTCTCCTGCTTCAGGCTGAGCCGGCGGTATATCATTGTGCTTGCAACCCCGGGTTTGTCATATATTTATATTTAACGACTAAATATTATTAGGCAACCTAACAGTACTAGAATTTTAAATGTAACATTATTACTCTATTCAGGCATCAAGATCCCGTGTAAGAACTCTCACAATACTATACTACAATGCAATTTAAAAATACTATTAATGCTCATGATGTAACTTTATTATCATATATGAACCTCCTTTATCATCTATTTCTAAAGAAAAGTCCTTCAAGTTAGCAAAGAAAATATATATATCTTGTTTCCGATCACAACTACTAATTAGCATTACAAAAAATATTTTCAAATAGTTTCTATTGAAGTATAGAGTTGTACAGATGAACTATGATTGTGCAGATAAAGTGTTTAAAAAGGAAACCAGAGTTCAATTGTTATGTGTAATAGATATGGGATCTTTTTGTACTTACAATATATAGGTATTGCACGTCATGTTATAACAAAAAATATGACAAGTTTTATTTTTGAATATGCATTATGTTTTTTTTTTTGTGATAAGGCGGCGGATTACCCGATGGTAAGCAATCGACGCCGACCATGGACACCAGCAACAACGAGGAGTTACGAGTGCATTGCCGTACCTTTTGTAGATTGGGGATTGGGGGTAGTTCCCTACCCCCAATCCCCAATCTACATTGGGGGGGATTGGGCTTTATGTAAACCTTTTTAATTATTACGTATGTTTTGAGTATCATCCTAATTAGGTAATAGGTGAACAATTTACTTTTGTGAAGTCATTAGCCGGGACTGGAGTAGAAGAAACGAGGTGGTATCTAGTCAGTAGGAGTCTGACACTTCCTCTCGCCTAACCCATAGAGAGAGAAGACATTTTGATTATTCCACCCTCAATAACGTAAAAAAACGTAACGTAATTAAAACAACAATAAACACAATTGGGATTTAGTCATATGCCCTAAAAATGTAATAACTGGCTGAGTAAAAATCAACTCTTCAAAACAAAAATAATATAAATGTCCGAATTTTTGTACGCAATGAACAAGTATGCTTTTTGAAGCGAAAAAAAAATAACGAACTCATAACACACAACCCCCTGTATAATACTCGTAAATACAAAACTGTTTTAAGAAAAAGTATTGAACCAGTTAATTATTTAGTTTAGATACTCAAGCAGCAAGCACTCAAAGCCTATTTATACAGGGTGTTTAAAAGTTATCAAAAGCTGTTTCTCACCTCAGCATCATTGGAGAATATCTTCAGTTCATATGTTTCATTCATTGAAACTACTCCTTTCATATTTTCTTCTTCCTTCAACTGAAACATACAACAACATTACATGTTTATATTTGTTGAAATACTTTAGAGCTGAACTCAAAGGCATTTATTATCAATCCTAAAATCAGTCACTTTTGAAATGTCAACATTGATTTGACTGCATGTTTGGCGCAGTGGCTCGACAACCAGCTGCCGTGAAGCATGTTGCACGTTCGACTTTTTGTGTGATCCACAAATTGTTGTTCCTAGTCTGGGTGTGATGTGTGTATGTGAAATTGTATGTTTGTACACACATCCACTACACAAAAGAAAATATTGTAGGGCAACATTTATTATTTAAAACAATTGATCATTAGTGAACCTAGGGTAATTTCTTAGTGTCACAGTGGCTCCATTTACATAGTTCAAAACTTGGTACATACCAGTGTGAGTTGCAAAATTTAATTTATTGCAAAAATGTTTTTAGTTCTTTTTAGTGACAGTATTAAATATGCTGTTACTTATTTTAAAATATGCTAAGATCTGTTCATGGTTAATTTATTTAAATTTTATAAAATATTATGAAATAAATGCATTTACTGCAGTTATTACGTTAGCTATACTGTTACTTAAACTAATTTCAATAAAATTTTTAATTTTAATTTTATTAGCTACATTGTTGTTAAAATAGGTCAAAAATAAATCTTAATGGTAAGGTAAGGTAAGGTAAGAGACTAATGTAACCAAAGACAAAATTCCCTTATTAAAATAAAAAAATCTGTGACCAACATTCAAAATAGCAACTAGATCTCTACCTGAACTGTTTGAAGGGCATTTTGTTTGAAAAAAATTACACCATTAATAAATAGAGCAACAAATGAACATTTTGTTTTAGTAAACTCAAATAATTTTATAATTAAAATAAATCAAGTTTTGGTCAGTACTGTGTCATTATGAATGATTGAATAGAGGTCAAACCTATATCAACAAGTTATTAATTAAAAAAAAAAAAATACTCAACATACACAAGGTACCTATTTTAAGACTAGGTTCTGTTCAAGCAAATATTAAACTTAAATATTAGGAGGTATTACCATTCAACTAGTGTGACATACCATATAACTTGAATGACAAATATGTACTTAATATTAACCACTAAGTACATAACAGGCATACTATTTACCTACTATGCTAACTGGCACAAGGCCATAGAAACATGGCCCATTGATCATAGTTTAACCATTGGCTCTCCACTATGTAATTCCATGACTAATAAAAAATAAAATAAAAAAATATATGTCAGATCAGTAACCTCAAAAGTTTTGTAACACTTACCTGTTTTGTCATACTTTGGAAAGGAAGGGCTCCTAGAATGACAGTATCATCCATCCTGTCGTACCAGCGCCTGCTGGTCACCTTTTCCATGACCACATTGTATAATAAAGTTGGATAGAAAGTCACCCGCGCGAACATTGATGTGGCCTGGTAAATAAACAGTTACAATTAGCTTGTGCGTCAGAAGTCGGCCGGCGGACAGTGTATGCCGCTGCGAAGCAGTGATTTAGGAACACCGGTACCATGGTGAAAGCTGAACTTCGTGGTGGGGATTGAATATTAATTTTTGTTTGGGTCCTCTTCCACTTTGTGCAACTGACAGTAATGTTGTGACAGCACGCTGTCAAAATAAAAGTTTGACGTTGTCAATGTGACGGTGTTGGAGTTGCCAGAAAAAATATTAGGTAGTAAGCAAATCTATTCAATTGTTATGTTTAAAATGTATATAATAAATACTATTTATAAATTATTTATTTTACCCTGGTAAATAATCATTACAGATTTTATTCGTTTTATAACATATTTAGTTATAACGCCTGATTGAAATATGTCAATTGACAAAAACCTACAGCTACAACACCTTGCTCAAATATTTCATTCAGGCGTTATAAAAAGTATTACCATTCGGAAAATAAATATATTTTGTCTAATGAAATTAAAAGAATGTTTTGGTTAGAATTAATTAGAATATTATATAAATATTGATTAGATACGGATTCTGAATTCACGACCCGATATTAACGACCCAGTGAAATAATACGCTTAACACGCTTTTAATAGATACTGTTTTTTGAACCTATAGTAACTTGCCAGAATATTTAGATAAGTATTTTTAATAACCTTTATTTAAACGAACGACGTGTAATTTACGCAGGCAAGTTTTAAGGCAACACATCGCCCATCGTGACAACATAATTAATAGCTTTAACCCTCTCTGTAACACGATAATCTATTGTGACTAATCTTAATTATGTGTTACAATTAATTTCACATACGAATGACGTCTTTCGGCCCCAATTACTTTTTTTATCACCAACTTACTCATAATTTCGAGCCAAGGAAAATTTATAAATTTATTGTTACACCGCAGCCGAGTTTAAATGTCTAGCCACTGTCCAAGCGGGTAATTTTTAACATGCTTTGCCTCCTCATATTTCACAATGTGGGGTAATCTTTTTACATACTTATAAAATATATTAATTTGCTGGCCACGCCGGGTTGATTTCAAAAGCTGAAAGAGATATCATCGACGTGATCTATAGCCGCCATTTGTAAGCGCAGCGGGGTGCCAACCGAGCAACGACATTCCAAATTCAAATTAAATTAAAACGCGGTAAAAACAACGTATTTCCGTTCGGTGCGTCCGCTATTCAAATTTAGAGTTGATTTGATCTACGCTAATTTGTCTATGACTTTGTTACTATGGTACTGGTATCATAGGTACTGTTTCACGGTGATAAGAAAGTGTTTTAAACCCATTTTTAAATGATTGCTCTGGGCGGCTAATGGAGGATTATATGCTTGGTACATATTTCTCAATAACATTGTTGTTACGATACATACACCATTCATGTGAAATTCAGTTACTAAGTTTCTTGGAATCTAAATTGATAATTACCTACCCAATTAATTGGGTGGCATGTTTCTTTAAAACAAAGGGGCTCATTTCTATTCGTTTCTTTGACCGTAATAGTTTTGTTATGCAAATTGTGCCGTCCAACCATTAATAAAATGCAATGTTCTGTCGCGATAAAATACTATTAAATATTGTTTTCAATTACGCATCTTTAATACTCACTCGATATCTTTGCCATTTGCGTTTTCAAGTGGCCGTTAAGTAATTACATAGAACCAAGTCGCCAGTCGGTCTGTGAATAGATAATATAATGAAATCGACATCTGCATGTCTCTATACAAGGGTACATGGTCAATTCAGTGAATGCGTGCGTTTCGAAATGAAATAAATGATTTTCCTAAATATATTTTAAAGAATCATCAAGTGGCTCGGGCCCGATCGACCCGCTACGGAGCGCATTAAGCTCCGATACTCCGCCTCATCTGTCATCATTAATGCCACGGTATCCTAATAAGTTTGCTACAATAAATAAAATAAGAAATATCAAAGAGTTGCGCTCCGTTTAATGGTTGTAATTGTGGCCAAATGAAATATGGCCGAAGACGATACGGACTCTGTGTCGTGGGTGTCTACCCGCCTTAATATCGACATTTACACGCTATAAATATTTTAAATGATTATCTTAATGCATTTGTAGTCGTCATTTACATAAGCGCCGTGGAATGAGGTTGAGACGAGCCTGGTGCAGTTAAAACATTCACACCCCGTTCGCAAAATAGCCGGCAAAGTAAACGCGCTTTCATCACGTACGTCTCATAAATAGTGGCGCGGTGCAGCTCGCGTCGGGGCCGAACTAAATCTGACCGTATTATGCGCGTCCTGTCGAACATCAGACGCTTATTTGTGTCCGAAAAGCGCTCGAAAGACTTAAAGCCTTCCCGGTTGATGTATGGCGGCGACACGTGAATGCCGACCTTTATATTCAAATCGGCGGTATTCAAATGTGCTCGTTGTCTATGCGACGGTTGACAATTCGCGGGCACATTCGAAAAAGGAACGCGGGAAACGTCATATCACCGGCGGGATTCGAAACTCGAATTTTGCTTTTTGGCGCGTCGATACGCATCTGGCTTCTGGGCTGCGTTCAGGCGTCATGTTCAGTTCTTTGCTTTTATTTGAGTTCGATTGTGTCGGACGGTGATATAGTTTGAGATCTGTAGATATTTTGACGTGGCCCTCTGATAAAGTTAGTGTTTCGCGGCGGCCAGTGAGTTAACGAGCGTCTGAGTAATGAGCGATGCTATTGTGATTTGAACAATGGCTGGCGATCGCTATTGTTTATATAATTGAAAATGATATTCGATAACGACGCTTGTGTAGCTACGTTTGTGTTTAGATGCGGCACCTGCGTACGATAAATTGTCAGATAAACGTATCTCTACTTTCATTTGCGGTATTTTGACGATAATATCTGCAGTATTACTTTAACGGGGAACGTTTTTACGGTGCATGGCTATGGAGGTTATAATTAGGTACGAGGGAGGTTTATTTACAAATTTCTTGTTCCGAAAGTTGATGCAAATGTTTGTGGTAGACGTGGTCGGATGTCCGCACATCTGCATACAATGCGGTGGTGCATCGCTCCAGTTCAGCGGTAATTTACTGCTGATCCCTTTGCTTAGATGTCGCCTGAAGATAGCTGCTACCTAATTTAAATCTAAAATAAAACGTGGATAAAAGTAGCGGAGTACGCTGCCTGCAGCTTGAGGTAAAGAAATGAATGATTTACGAGAACTTTTTTAACAAGAAATTCTTATTGAATTTTACGGAAACCTAACAACAAAACAAAAATAACTTTATCTGAACCCTTAATCATGATACAATGATAAAGCTTATTCTTATTTATAATAATATTCTTAGGAGTTATATAATATAGGTACTTAGGTACGGAAACAGAAGCTTGTAGTTTTAGACTTATGACGAAACAAGATTCAAATCAGACTCAAAAAAAAAACAAAATTATTTCGTAGTTTTAATGCTAACAAGCATTTATAGACACAAACACGAATAAAAAATAATTAAAGATAATTCATAGACAAGTAACATTTTTTACCCTTTAACGAAGGCATTTAATTAAACTGCCAATAGTGTCAATACAGGACATTGAGATAAAGTAGTACTTATTGGTTCGATAACATGGAAATATGTGTATTTTATTAAGAACCAGTGTAAAAAATAACGCTGGGCGTGTCGTATAAATTTTAAATAAACAAAGAACGTTTTTATCGGCAGCTGTTCTTTTACCAATTAACCGTTGTTGGAACGCCTACCGTTGACAAATTGATGAGTATTTCAGAACGGGACCGCGCCCTTTAAATTTTTAAATATGGCCGACCTTGTTCTGCTTGTGTCATAATTTTATTAAACATCTGATCATTTAAGATTTGTCTTCGTAATTGGGTAGTTTCCTAAGTCAAAAATAAATTAATTCGACGTATCAATACAATAAAAGATTTGAAATTTAACTATAGGTAGGTATATATTTATGTAAGAAATAAGTAAGTTATTTGACGCTAAAATACTATGACGTCAAAACTCAGCGTTTCATAAAAATTTCGTAGAACAGTATACTTTTTGACATTTAGATAAAAGTATTGAATTTGACTACTTACTTGGAAACTACCGTATTGTCTATTCAATTTGATTCAAAAATAGAACAAGTTGGTTTAGTTTACATCCTTTTTGATTGACTGATGTTTTTTTCAAACCCTTTAAGTTATTCCTGCATCATAAATTATAAAAAGGCTACCTACCTAACTAAATAGCTAATATCTACCTATTTTACTATTGGAACATCTTCATTAAGATCGGGAACTTATAATGCTGGTAGATTGCTAGCCTTTCAGTGTCCGCGATTATGACGGATGACTCCGGCGCATGCGCATACCGACCGTTAATTTACATTGTACGTAATTTAAGTGCGCGCGCAGCTTGCAAATGGTCACCTGCGATCATGTACAGTCATTACTCTTTTTAATTGGTCACTTGTCTTATGAAATAATTTCGTAACAGCCTATTAACGTCATATTATTGTTATTTTATTTTCTATAATCCAGTTATGTCGTTGGAGAATTCCGCGAATTTTATTTTTTTCGCGAAGAAGATGGACAGATAGGGTTCAGTCGTGTGACAAAATACTGGCTTATATTTTTAAATGTAACTAATTCAGTAGTCTCATAGAGAAATTGCAGATTATAAGCACCGTCACTTAGTTTTATACACATAAGGTAACCCAACGCAAATTTTAATAAGGCTTTATAGCTAATCTACGTTGTGACAACTTAAAACACATTTAGCGACCAACATTTCTGTGCCGTCGCGGCCATTTAACAACTTCAGCCTACTATCGCGGTCGTTAAAAAAAGCTAAAGGCACAAAAGCACATGCAAATTGACTTAATTTATCTACATTCATTGAAAAACCTTAGATGTCCAAACAAAAGTTTAGAGGATTCAATTCAAATGCCGCCATTGTTGTCTGCCAGATTCATTTGTTTTTTTTTCTTTTTAACTTGATAAACGGCCCGCTGCCGGTAATTCGTTTAGTAGACATCGATTAATTATGTTTTAAATCGGCAAGTCTATTATCGATTTTGACGGCGTGTCACTAGAGATGTAGTTTGTCAAAATCATGGCAACGAGTGATGTGATGTCACAATGTTGGGGGTTTTGTGCCGGGTCAATTATAGAGCAGAAGATTAATGTGGCTTTAGTCGCGT